TTTTTTTCATTTTTCTTTTTGTCTTTTCTTTTTCTTTTCTTTTTTTTTTTTTTTTGAGATGGAGTCTTGCTCTGTCATCCAGGCTAGAGTGCAGTGGTGCAATCTTGGCTCACTGCAACTGCTGTTTCCCGGGTTCAAGCGATTCTCCTGTCTCAGCCCCCGGAGCAGCTGGGATTACAGGCACCTGCCACTACACCCAGCTAATTTTTGGATATTTAATAGAGATGGGTTTTTGCCACGTTGCCCAGGCTGGTCTCAAACTCCTGACCTCAAGTGATCCACCCGCCTAGGCCTCACAAAGTCTGGGGATTACAGGCGTGAGCCATCGGCTCTTTTGAAATATGCAACTTCCTCTACTCCCTATAAACTAAGCTTTACCAGCTTCCTTGGCACTTAGATAGGGAACAGGCAGTTACACCATTTACCTAATATTATGTTCAGCTCTGCTGCTCCTCATTACATTGGCCTCTTTGGGCTTACACTGTTTTTAGCATACCTTTTGCAAACCAAATTAACAATACTTTCCTAACACAACAGATGTCCACATATTTATGAGTTGTCTCACTTGCTAGAGGTAATGTGGTAAAAACATGTTTGGCCTAACCTGGGTGACTTGCAGACACCATGACCCGGGGAGGAGTGCAGAATGCTAAGATAAGAAAAGTTTGCTCTGATAAGGCACATGGAGACTCCTGTTCCAAGATATTTAATGGGCAGACCCCCATGGTTCTCATTCTTCCAGTATTTCCACAGATCTTATATGTGTAGAAGGCCTAAATGCCAGAAGATAATATATTTTCTCTTTCAAAAAATTCATCTAAAGTTGTCTAAATTAAAATGTTTAGGGAGTTTTTAGAAATGTTCAGGACCAAGTAAGGACTTAAGACTTAGAATGACACATGAGTTAAAGTACTGTTTCCTTTGGTACACAGCTCTAATTTCTCCTCACAGTGACATTTTGAGAAATGAAACTAATAACCCAAATTATTGAGACTGCTAAAAGGGATATTACCAGGTCTGAATGTCAAAACAGTCCTTCACCTTAGTCTTTCTTGTGAGTAATGCTATAAGATATTAATTGGTCTTGTTTGGTATAGCCAGAGTAATGAGCGATTAAGTGATTAAAGCAAAATAAATGTCTGTTTGAAGTATGCAAATAAAGCTTTTTTTTTTTTTT